CTTGATTTAACTGTATTTAAGCTTTAAACTTTTCTACTAGATGGTCTCAAAGAATAATTGAGTGCAGTAGGTTCTTAGTGAGTACAAAGCCAAGGAGTACAACCAGATGATAAAAGAATGGAGAGATTTATAGTTTGCAGCAAGTCAGGAGAGCTCTGGGACTATTGCAGAAGCACTGTCCTGTGTGTGAGTGAGTCTGCTGTGTTCCCATAAGAAGGTACATGTAGAAGTGGGCAGATTCCTGAGCACGCTGTTTGAGGTGGGCATTGCTGAGCACTTTTTTTTTTTTTTTTTTTTTTTTTTTTTTTTTTTTGTATTTTTGAGACAGGGTCTCCCTGTAGCCCCAGGTGGCCTGGAACTCACTATGTAGACCAGGCTGGCCTCAAACTGGGATTCATCCACCTGCCTCTGCTTCCTGAGTGCTGGGATTAAAAGTGAGCGCCACCACGCCACGCTTTGCTGAGTACTTTTAATTCAAGGTTGCAGATCATGTGTTCAAAAAGATAGCAAACTTGAATGCATTTGGGCAGGGTATTTAGTATTGTAAGGAACAACTTTTACTCTGGGTGGTCTAAAAGGAGTCTGATTGACCCTGTGACTTTAGCTGATTCCTCTAAATTTTTCTAGAGTTTTAATCAAGACAAAAAGAATTTCAAAGGCACACGAGCAGCCATCTTAAAGAACAGCAGCCTTTTCCTCAAGTTTGAGTTTTTCCTAAAGCTCCATATGTTACTTAGCTGACAACAACAAAATACACAGACATACTTGTAACTCTGCTTAGGGATGCTGCAAACCAAAGATCCAGTTTCTTATTTTATTTTTATTTATTTTTATGTGTATGCGTGTATTGCCTGCATGTAAGTGCACCCATGTCACACAGTGCCTGTGGAGGACAGAAGAGGCCGTCGGATCCCCTGGAGCTAGAGTTACGGACAGTTGTTAGCTGCCATGTGGGTGCTGGGATTCAAACCTGGGTCTTCTGCAAGAACAGCCAGTGTTCTTAACCACTGAGCCATCTCTCCAGCCTCCAAAGATTCAGTTTTTATCTTATTCCAAAATTTTTCCCGAAAATTCTAAATTGTGAACTTCATGTCAGAAGAAAGCGTAAGTTAAAACCATTCCAAAAGGAACAAGGCCTGAATCTTAGGTTTAACTGTCTATGAACTCTTAAGGCAAGAAGCAAAATTATTCATAAAATATATATGTATTTTTTGAATTTTTAAACTAGTCTTTGAAAGATGATGACAGATAAAAGAAGATGGGAACCATGTACTGACTTGGGGTTACAGAAAGAGGGCAGATTGGTGAAGTGCTTCCCCTATCATGTGCCCAGGGACTAAAACTCTGTTGTCCTAAAAGCAGAGCCCCAGAATACTGCTTATCACATTGTCGTGAGTCCGTATGGAAACTGGCCTTGTTACTGCCTAAGCAGAGCATCTGGTGTGTTACCATAAAATTTAGGACAAAGTGAATCAGACTATCTCTGAGACTGAATTAGTCACATGGACTTCTAATAGTTTGATGTTTGACTTCTTAAATGTTGACTCTAATTCAGATATGTTGGACCTCTAAATTGTGTTAATGTTCAGACGAGTTTTTTTTTTCAGTATAATACTTTATACTTTATGCAGATTCTCCTGAAGTAACTAGAGCTGACATTTTGCAATTTACTTGTGAAATATATATTAACTGTCAACAAAACAACAATTAGAAAGATCTGTTGGGTGTATTTTCAGGCTGGCTGTATTTAAGAGGAAATCTAGAATATAATGAGTTCTAGAAATTTAAATATAAATTGATGATTTGGAGTTTGAAATTCTCTCTCTCCCTCTGTCCCTCTCTCTCCCCCTCTCTCCCTCCCCCAAATCACAGTTCAGTCCAAAGAAGAGAAATAGTGGCAGCTGGCTCAACAGAGGGAATCTAGAAAGCCCAAGGCCCTCATGGCAGGAAGGATCCTGTACAGTGTACATGTTATCTGTTGCTAGTATTTGACAGGATAGAAAAAAGTTGGGTTCCACACTGAGTTTTCATCCACATAGATGCCCTTAATACATGCACTGCTGGTGTTCTGTATCTACTTGCTTTCATGTGCTTCATCGTTTACTTTATGGGCCTAGTTATTCCTTGTGTTCTCTAAGTACCAAATATAAATACATATAAAAACAGTCTGTCTGCATTTCCTTTTGTAACATCTCAAAAAATGTCTCAGAATGGGGCCCATGAAGTGCTCAACAGGTAATGGCACCTGTTGCCAAGCCTGACCTGCCTGAATCCAATCCCCGGACCCACATGGTAGAAAGAACAGATTCCACAAGTTGGTCTTTGACGTCCACTCATGTGTGCCATAGTGAACATAAATTTAAAATAAAAAAATTTTTAAAGAAATTTTTAAAGAACCCCTCTCCAAAATATAAGACAATAAAAATGTTTAAGAATAAACTAAAAAGTTGAATGTTAATTAGCATATTCCATATTCTTTTAGTCTTGATTGTATTGGTCTTGAAGACTACATTGGATCATAGTATATTTTATTTATATCGTGTGACATTCAGTTTTTACTTTAGAATTCTGTGACTGAAGGTGATTTGTTATCTTTCTTTTTGCTTTGTTTTTCTTTTGGTTTGCTGAGAATTAAATCCAGGGCCTGTGTATATGCTAGGCAAGTGCTTTACTGCTTAATTACCTCTCCAACCAAGTAAGATGGTGGTTGTTGTTTCATTTGGGATTTGTTTTAGAATTCATTTATTTATGTGCGTGCATGTCTGTGTGAGTGAATTTACATGTGACTTGAGACCAGAAGAATATGTCCAGTGTCCTCCTTTGCCACTTTCTACCTCTTCTTACGACTCAGGGTCTGAGCCTTGTGTTTTCTTGACTAGGCTGGAAGCCACTAAGACCGAGTGATCCTCCTGTTTCCAAGCCACTTGGACCTGGAATTATAGGTGTGCACAAGATGCCCAATGTGTTTCATAAGTGCCAGGATCTGGCTTCTGATCCTCATGATTGCATGTGTACTCTTTTTTTTTTTCCTGAGTTTCCCTGTAGCCCCAGGTGGCCTGGAACTTACTATGTAGACCAGGCTGGCCTT